TACTTTAATCACCTACCTGCTAATCTTTTTTTTTTTTTTTTTTTTTTTTTTTTTGGGTACCATGCCTTTCATTGACTAGCGACATTCATTTTGTAGACTTAATTATACAGCACCATTCGCAATTCCCAAGAACTTATTTGGAATAAATCAATTTTTTTTGTAATAAATTTAATTTAGCATCAGTCTCAAACTGCTGCACAATGATTAGAGAAGAATTAAAAAATTAAGATATCCACATTGCTGAAGAGATACCCTTGCATTCAGTTTTCCAGCAATGTCCATGTCGTCTTGTGACTGACTGTACGTCTAGACTCTCTACATGACTACTGAGGGTGTTTACACATTTTTAGAACGATTTCAATAAATTATAAAAAGCAAATATTTTGGAATAAAAATTTGATTTTATTCTTTCAAAAATGCAACATGTAAACAAGCCATGGATTGAAGCAGTGTCAGATTAAGGTATAAGCTGAGCAAGCTATAGCTCCCCCTCCCATGAAATATTGTAGCATATCCCATACAAAAAATTCAAATAGCTTAGGATCTCAAATCTAAATCAGGTCCTGGATTTAAGGACGTTTGGGTATTTTCTGAAGAGAAATACTCTTATTCCATAATTCAAAAAAGCTGTAAAAAATGCATGGTATTATTAAAATCAAAGTATAAAATTAGCAACATTATTAATCAAAGTAGGAAAAACCATCGATCATTATTTCTGCATAGAAAGATGACTCAATGAATACCCGAAAAACCATGTACTGTTTCTATAGTTAAATCCTAACTCACAACAAAATCAGGTGACAAAGAAAGCAGTTGTAAAGTTTTGACATGGGGACTATATGAAAATTATTTAGCAGAAGGTATATGGAAATATACCAAAAATATCAAAAAATGTACAAAACTGGTTCTGTAAATGCAGAGAAAGCTTCTGCAATTAGAGCAGGATTCTCTTGCAATGGGAGATTAAAAGAAAGTGTGAAAAAATTGTTAAAAATCAACTCAACATATCAAGTTTTACATCCTATATTCCCAGAAAAATTACATTTAATCTCAATGACTTTCAAAAAGAGAAACTTTAACACAAAGCAACAACTCATATTCAGAAGTACCAATGTATTCCTTGAAAAAATGGATCAATACAGATATTGCATTATACCCTTTTAACATATTCATTCAAAGTTCCCCCCTCCCGACACTTCCCCTATGGCCTATTGTACTTTTGGTCTCTACCCCATCATGATTGGTAATCTGGAAAGTAGTGGAAGAGGAAAGGAAATTCTACACCCCTGGAAGTTTTATGAAAAGCCCTTCTATCATGGAAATCATGATGAAGTCTTATAAATTCAGAAGAAAGGCTATCAGAACAAACTAAAAATACTCTTTAAACATCAATTTAAACACCTCAAAATAATTCTAAATATACGTAAACACATTATTGTGCATCAGGCCCACGGAAGTTTTCTACCTGGCCTTATTTTCATAATTTTTAGTCACAGATATATGATTCCAGTTACAAAAATGCTTTAAATAGTGCAAAGATTCGTGTTCTGGCATTTTTAGAGAAATCAATTTTGTAAAAAGTACAAAATTTAACTTTAGAAATGTTCCTCCAGTCACTATATTTTTATATGTAGAAAAATTTTCTACCAGTTATAAAAAAATACTGCAAGTTAAGTCTCCATGATAAGAACTGAACAAGCTATTTGATATAGAAATCGGAAATCATTTAAGGGCCACACACAAATTAAATAGCAAAATGCATTCGCACATAATATTGTTTAAATTTCTAATGTTAAGAGAATATTTGCTAAGCATTTTTTAGGCTGAAAAACACAGATCAATATAATTTTTTCCAGGAAGGAGATTTTTATTCACAGTTAGAAAATACTGGTAGCTTTCAGTAACCAACTCTTTACATTTGTAATTAATAATGAGAAATATTTATATTTTAATGAAATACAAGATTACAAGTCTAAAGTAATAAAATTTCAAGAGAATATTATTCATGTGTTTTTAGAGTTGTAAATTACTTGAGCGAAAATTTTTCGGCATATGAAATGAAACAAAATAAGGTCACAAGTAAATTATATAATGTTACCAATTAGCACTTAAAGAGGAAAAAAAAAAGCCTCGATTTATTTATTAACCCTTTGCAGCATGATGTGCACGTTTGAGCACACCTAAAAATTTCCTCTGTACGCACAGAAAAATTTAATGAGAAAGGATTTATTTTTACCTTAAAATCTTGCCTAAAATCAAACATCAGCTGTTCCCAGAGGGTATTCACTCAGAGACTAGGTCACTGAGTAGAAACTGCATCTTTCTCTGCAGCTATCAGTCAGTTCATTCACAATAGAAAAGGTGTGCCCACATCTGTGTTTCATTTCCTGTTTTAACTCTTTTTGGGGGGGGGAAGGAAGGCTTGGTTATTAACTAAGAAATTGTTGGGGTCATTTTCTGAAGGTCAAAAGGTAATTTTATCAGTTAGCTATTTCGTTTTTAACTACATCAGTACTCTTTCGTTCAAGGAAGTTTCGTTAGTGCAACGTTTAATAGTTTTGAGTTTTTATTTTATAGATAATTTTAAATTGCAAATAAAATATTAGTTTATTTTTTGGATTTTTAATTATTTTCCGAATGGATCAGAGAAGGCTGACCATTTCTGAAGCACTGAAATTGCTTCCAGATAGCGAGTTTGATATAGATCCCGGTACATGTGCAAAACATACAATATTGGGTTGTGCTTTTTTAAAGGTGGTGTCACTTAAGTACCACCATGAAAAAATAGACAAAGTGTAAATATGAAACATAAATATTATATACCCAAGTTAATTTTTGTCCATTCATACACACGTACTCATAACCAAGAGTTTTATTAGGGGGTGTAAAGTAGCAGGAATCCCAAGGCACAAACTGGGTAACGGTAAATCTGCAACAGTATTTAGAATATTGTGTGTTTTTTTAATCACTGCAAAATCTTGCTCTTTTATGCGCTTTCCAGAAATGTTCGTTTCAGCACTCTTTTTAAAGCTCTATTAATTCAGTGTGCCCGCCTCTAGGCCTGATTAAACTGTCTACCCTTTTTTTTTTTTTTTTTTTTTTTTTGAAATTCCAACTTTAAAAGGGGTAGCGTGCTGGAAAGGGTTAACTAACCCTTCAATGCAAATTCAAAATGCCATATTACAACCTTTGAAATTAAATATCTTGGTCAATACAGACAACAAAACTTTCCTATTTTAATTTTTTCAAACATTAAATACAGGGGCAACAAAAGCATGTTAACAAGTTAGATTGTATAAAAAATAAATTTTAAAAATACAATACCAAAAACCTTAATCACTTAAAACATCTTTGAAATTAGAAGTGTTGCGAAAATAAAAGCTGGAAAATAACTTTTGCAGACAAGGCTATAGCTTTCCACAAGCAAAATCTAGAAGTGTAAGCTTCAAGTGAATACAGCTGTTTTCAGTGGCCTGTCACTTCATTACGCTGCCAATACATATCCGTTTCAGAAGAATAACTGTTTGGAACAATTTTTCTGCTTTATCACAACAGCCAATCGCCACAGATCAATTTGGGGTTAACATGTAAAGGAGAAACCGATTCTCCATTACAGCCAAGCAGATAGCCAATTGGTTGAAAACGAACAACATGCAATTTTTTTTCCAAAAGGAGGGTGGGGGAAATCGCAAGTCTTTCTTTCAAAAGTTAAACAGGCAGAAAAGTTATCTGAAACAGTTGTTCCTTTGAGATAAATGCACGTGTGATACAGGGTTTAGAGTACAGTCAAATACCGAAAATCCGCCCACCTGAAATCCACGTTGCCTCTCAAAATATAAACATTCAGTTTATAGGTTTCGGAAATCGCAACATTGAGTACGAAATAACAAAAAAAAACTTACTGAATAATGATGTCATAATTACCAAATAATAATGAGTCATAACGGAAATACCAAATTATTGACATCATGATAAAAGTTTTTCCCCCCTAATCTGCATCGAGGTAAAAAAGCAGACAATTCACTCAACTCTTCTTTCAAACTCACCATTCATTGTTGTATTTCCTGAATTTATTATTTCACGAGATTATTTAGTGCTACCTTTTTTTTTTTATCCGAATATTTTGTGGATAAATTAAGAATATTTCAAATCTCAGCCCTACAATTAGATAAGAAACACACTCATGATTTTACTGCTGTTGAAAAAAGTAAAACACATTACATTGACAGTAATGCAAAAAGTGCAAATTCTGCAAAAGATGGAGACAGGTGCTACTCCTCGGTTTATAGCAGAATTGTATGGAATTGCGATACGATTGTGTTCAATATACGGAAAAATAAAGATAAGCTGTTGAAATTTTAGAGCAATAGTTATTCTAACACTGTAATCCGAAAATCTTTGCACGAGGCGAAATCGGCAAATCTCGATGCTGTGCATATGCAATACAATTAATAATATAATCAATTTATATATGTAATAATATAATGCTTATAAGTTATTGCAATAATGTATATAATAATTTAATTAAATGTATCTAATATGCCTTATTTATTTTGCACTTTTAGTCTGAATATTACGATTTATCTTTTCTATACTGAAATACGCACAACCTCTGGTCCCAAGCTTTGCAGATTTTGGGACTTTTACCGTACTTACCAATTATTAATATGCAGCATGCTAGAACATTTCTTGCTGCCAGTGTGCTTACATTTAAGTGAAATTAAATAACGAATTCTCAATTATGCTCATATTAATCAGGAAAATTTACTCGAAATTAACATTACATTTGAAAATTTTACAGTTTTCATGGAAAAATTATTTTACATATTTTTTTCAAGAACATCTGTATATTAAAAACATTCTTTAATCTTCACAACTTTTAACCTTTACAATTTTCAGATTATATGTGTAGAAAAATGATAAGAGGCTAAAATTCATCTTATTTCAAAATTATGTTGGCAGCAATAAAACATTACTTCAGAATGTATAAAGCGCCAAAATCGCATTTCAAAGAATTTTTTATTACAGGAAAATCAAAGTACACTTAACAGTTAAAAAATTACACCCAACTACCACAATCCACAACTAAGTTAAGCTTAAGACAACACTTAAAATTCTTGGAATGAACAATACTACAATATCTACGTAAAAAACTAAGGAAAACATGTTTAACTACAAATACAGAATGCAATTCTTCCAAAGAACAGGGGCTTATATAAAAGGAGAGAAAAGGGAAAAAGCATATTGGTCCCAAAAGTAAAAAAAAAAATTGAAAACAATCTCTTCAGACTTGGTTACAAGATTTAAAATATTTCAGAGGTATCAAGCTACAATGTTAAAACTTCAAGTATGCTCAAAACATGGGCCGCCAACTTGCAGAGGAAAAATTAAAAAGGGAGAAAAGTTAAAAGCCAAAGTACTTTGGAAATTTAAGTATGGGAAAATTCAAGAGCCCCTTAATGAGGAGTCAGTTCAAGTGTAGTAAATAGTTGACTTCCAACATTCCCTTGAGATGGCAATAAAGTGACAAGTCATTCTTCAATGATGTAGATCATACACAAAGTATCTTCACTTGCATTGCTGGGAGCAAGTTTATGTCCTGGAGCCAACATTGAAAATCCAAGGAACATAAATGTTCGAACCAGTGCAACTGAAAGAGAAAATTTGAAATTATTAAACTAGCAAAACAATTCTTGTGTAAAGACTTGTGTAAAGCCATTTATAAATTATTAAATTAGAGAAAACTATTTTCAATAGCATAAGGTACCTCTATCTGGTCTGCTTTTGCTGAAACACACGATAACATGGGAACACTGCAATTCATCTTCAGCAAATTCCAAAAGTGTCAAGAATCTAGAATGAATATAAATCAACTATAATAAAACTAAATTCTATAATGAAAAATTTAACTTCATAACCTCATGTCTAAAAATTATTTGAAAAAGCAAAAAGGTTCAAATGCCTTTTTTTGCTAAAATCAATCAATTATACAATATTTAACCCCATTCAATCTTCTAATACACTTACATTATTTACTATCTATACAGCCATCAATATAAACTAATGGAAAATGAAATCCCAACACCAAAAAGACATCAGTTTAAAGGAATGAAATGTAGGCAATAACATTTAATGTTTCAAAATCACAGGTTAAAAGTATGTACAAAAAAGGCCAGTTCAAATGTGAAATAGTGATACATTAATAATTGCTGTAGTCAACACAATACTGAAAGCAAGCATGCAAACTTTTATGAACTGTACATACAGAAGCTGTATAGTCAGTCATTTTGTGATATGAAGTTCTACGCCTGTTACACTCTGGCAATTCAACCAGAAATGATCTGCACTGGTTATGAATGATGCTGGATTTTCCATTCATGCCCTATACATATTTAATGGGGAAAAGATTAGGTAATCTTGCAGGCCACGGCATCATTTCAACACTATGCTGGGTGATAACGGCAGTATAGAGATGACCATTAAGTTGAAAAATGATTCCTGGAATATTGCTCATGAATGGCAGCATAAACAATGTAATCACGAGTCCGATCTATAAATTTACAGTTAAAAGTATGAAGATAATGACAAGAATGCTCCTGGTGTAGATATGACGCATCTATAGCAGAAGGCTTGGTTCCAAGCACTCAACTGGCCCTCTAACCAACATATGGCCACCACTTAATACAAATTTAGGAATGGCCTCATCTGAGAACATAAAAGATCTCTCTACCCTCCACCAAGCTCCAGCCTAACATCACTAAAGTTACAGATGGAAGCAATTTTGAGTTAGCAGTAAAGGATATCTATCTTGGAGCTGTCTTTCAAATAATCTGTTACAGTTTGCTAATCAGTAACCAATATTTTAACTATGAAATATATAAAGCCAATACTTTTTAGTTTTATCATTTTTATTAAGAAAAAGTTTAACCTGAGAGATAAGACTGCTTTTAGTCGCTTGACACTACATAATTACATTTCTTTTTTTTATCTTTATGAATGAATTGTTATAAAAACAAAATAAAATAAACACCTAAGTAGCTAATAAATACTGATTATTACATTTCATAAGCAGATACAAAAAGCCATGCTATTCTGAAATTTAATGATTGTTATCATTTCTGCACTAAAAACAAATTTGACCATACTTATAATTCATTTTACCAAACTGAAACCATTCACAGTTGAAACGCAATAATACAGTAAACATTTTAACCATCCAAGCCATGTATATTAATATTTTTGCTTATATTGCTCATTAATATTTATATATTCTCATTAGCATTTTTGCTTAATACTTGTATGTATTCTTACATTCACTTTTTGAAATATGCTGTAATTACACTGGCAGGAAAAATTTCAGTTCCTTTAATTTCATGATTTGAATGATTTTGCAGTTGAATACATGTAAATTGCAGAAGATCTTTATCATGGCAATGTCAAATAGCTACTTCTGTAAAAAATTAATTTAAATAAGAACACAAGAAAAGGCTATAGAAAAGACTTATTACAACTTTTTATAAGCAGAAAAACAAAGGTGTGTGGGTCACTTTCCAAACAAAAGCAAGCTTTACTGCGATAGCCATGCTGAGTAGATTGCCCAGAAGTGTATTTATGATGAATAAAGGCTTGTACCAAGGACTGCAATCTGTTAAGTCAGCATTCTAATGCCTCCCTACAAATTGTATTTAATTTAAATCCCCAAAATATGTGCACCATACCATATACTGGATATCTTCGATCAAAATAATCAATGACTAGTACGGCAAGATTAGAAATGTACATTATAGCCTATTACAACTGCATCCCTAAAACAATTTGATTTTAGTATTCAAACTCGTACCGGTCAAAATGAACAAGTCCATATAGCTACTCAAAATGCCTTCCCATATAGCGATTCCACCACCTCTTTACCAATATCCTGCCCAGATATTTTCATGTTTACCACATTTCTCTTTCCAGTGCCCCCCCCCCAAAAAACAGACTCCACTACAACTGCATTACTCACCAAATGCTCCAATCACTGTTAACTGAATACATTTTACAACCCAAGTTTGTAAAACGAAGTTTCTTTGCATTCAAGCCCTCTTTTATGCTGTCACTCATAGTATTATCCGAAGTTGTAGCAGAAGTAAGAACCTTAACAGACTTCAATTCTCTTTCAACTACTACTGTCAAACAATGACCTTTAAGTCTATTGCAGCATATTTTCAACCTTGATCTGTTTATCTGCCTACATCACCAATGTCTTTAAACAATTTACAGATATTTAACGATACTTCTAGTTTTTCTATCTCTGTCAATGCCTTACATTGTCACAAGCTGCAATGTTCAATATTGCATTCTCTGAAGCTGTCAAACTCCAACAAATTCCATCTCATAAGAAAATTTTAATCTGACTATACCTATAATCCTAGAAACTGAAATATGAAGACCAGTTGCACTCTTTTCTACATATGCTTTCAGCAAATGGAGTAAAAAAAATTCACATTTCTGTGTAGTGAAGGTGAAGTATCTACTGCAAAATATATCGACTTAAAGCTACCAAACAATTATCTTTCATTAGACTTCACAATAAATTAACATAATGCAACTTTAAGTAGCTCCTTAAATTTCTCCCACTAGTGTGTTTAGGTAGCATGCGACATAAAAACAGCCTAGAATAGAATTGTTGGAATTTTTTAATTATGGTCACCAAAACCTATCTTTTTAGAACCTTTCAGATTTCAAACATTTGAACAGCTAAAATGATTTAAAGTTACTCACGAATCTTTAGATCCATCAGACATGCCACTGTCAGGCACCTGGACATACAGCCTGCGTTTCCACAGAACAGAATGCCACTGGGCAACCTTCGAGTCAGTCAGATGGAAATTAAAAGCCAACACGACAGCTTCATCCAAAGACTGCTTTGTCACTTCATCCCACTAGAAAGAAAGCATAAATTTCAAATTGTAATTTTACTTTATTTAATTACTTACTCAAAAAATTAAACTTTAAAGTCTGAATTGCCTTAAAAATTTTTAATCTAAAGACTGCTTTGTCACTTCATCCCACTAGAAAGAAAGAATAAATTTCAAATTGTAATTTTAATTACTCAAAAAATTAAAGTCTGAATTGCCTTAAAAATTTTTAATCTCCGAACATTTCTTACTTTTCTAGAAATAATTTTTGTAAAAGACAATTACTAATGATTATTTACAAGAAATGTAATAAACATGATGCATACATACATTATATTAGTATGAAAACATACATTTGAAACATTATATTAGTATGAAAACAAATACTTGAAGTCTGGTTTTGTTTACTTAATTTTTTATATCTAATATAAGAAAATTGATTTAAAAATTTGCTTCCAACAAGTTTCCTTTAAAATATTTACAGAAAACTACAGCAGTTAATATTTTAAATTTGTGAAAAGTCAATATGGACTAAATTTATGAAAATACACTTGCCTTCACTGAGACTGCTTCAGTCACAGGGGGCTCTTTAAATTTCCCCACACCGCTGCCCTCTGCATTTAATAGCAACACGTTGGCGGCATGGGGCGCATCAGGAGCACCACAGAGACCCTGTACCAATGGATATAGAGTACTTATGTGGCTTCATGCTGAAATCAAAATAAGAACAGAATTAAATATACAATTTTATTTTAATTTCAGGTTTATCAGAAATGCATGTTATTTTTTATCAATCATGAAAAGCTGCAGCCGAATATTCGAGACCATCAAGGACTAAGAATAGATAGATGTGCACACGTACACAGCAATACATTTTGTGGCTCTGTTTATATGGATCATGAAGATAAAAATTCAAGAATATTGCATGCTACGCAAGGATTGAAATTGCCGTTTTATATGAAAATTTCCCTGATCAAGTAACTGCATGAAAAGGTAATATGAACTGGCAATTTTAATATCAACTCTTTCTTTTGAGATACTGAATTCTAAACACAAATGGCAACAGCTACAACATACCAAAATGTCAGATATTTTTCTGAGTGGCAATGATATTTTTAGTTGTTTATGCCCCCTATTACATTTAAATTAAATAATTAAACTTTGAAAAAATTGAAATTTCTCCAGTTTTTATTAAGTTTAAAATCTGGATATTAAATATGGAAAAACCTATTATATTCTACACTAGGCTTAAATACGATTAGCTAAACTACAAATTACATTACGCTGAATATAAATTTAAACACAAACAAGAATATACCTGATAATGCTTTTCTATATTTAGATATGTAAAGATAAGTTTTTGCATCAATCGTCATTTTTGCTACCATCAGTATACATAAGCATAATGCCGTTTGCGATGTTATTTATAATTGCAAGGGCAAATTGTAGAAGGCAAATCGGCACATCTTTTTTCCTTTGTGACCCTTGACAGTAGTTCAGTATGGAAATGTCCCTTGGAAGACCCACTGAGGGATCAATGCATTGCTTCAAGAAGGATTGTTCTAGAATAGAGTGGAGTAAATTGCTGTTCTCAATCTGACTACTAATCAGGCTGTGTTTCTGGAGTCCTTTGTTATTATGCCAATGCCGCAATAAATCCGAGTTATGATTTAGGGAACTGTAGCTGTAAAGTTTATTGAAATGCTTCAATAGGTACACTTTAAAATTATTTTACTGCCAAAGGTAAATGCTTTTTAGGTTACTAATCATTTATATTTCTCAGTCTTATTTTCTTCACACAACTAACTATTTCTCAACATTTAAAAACAAAATTGCTCAGTTAAGCATGTTTTCCTAGGCGAGTTATTTTCTAGGAACTGCCTAACATTGTCTCCTTGCAAACAATTGAAAATTCTGTATGATCAGAAAGACATTCTGATGCAGACAATGCTTTTCACACAATTATTAGTTTGCATCTTGCAGTATGTATATTAACAGGTGCTGGAGATGAGGAACTACTAGAGAAAAGGGAATTGTTCATGGAATATACAGAATTTTGGTAAGTTCTCTCATTATGCAATAAATTACTCCTAAAACCTTCATTAATAGTTATCAGAGGGATTTTCTTACCTAAAAATTCCATATGTAATTTAGTGCAGTATGAATAAATGATACATCAATCTGCGATATGGAAATCTTAAAAAATTAAAACTACAATATTGAAATATAAATAACACTTATTTACATTTAACTTAAAATATTAGTTTGCCTTTTGAAATATAGCATTAATATTTAGAGACCATAATGCAATACTGCTGCATAAAAGAATCTAAAGAATTTTATTTTATCCTGCATATAGTCGCTGAATTGTAAATATGTTTGCCAGCCATTCATGGTCTTTTGTTTCGCCATACCTTCTTTATAAATAATTACATTTGGTAACCATTTTTATATTTTCTACTTGGCATAAAATTTTTTATCTTTTATGAAAGAAAAACACCATTTCTCAGTCAACAGATTGTTAAATATAACCAATATTTTAATAGAAAATTATTGAAAGAATATGAAAGAATGACAAATACTACTAAGAACTTAATTCTTATTTTCAAACTCCTGGAAAGTTAAAATTTGCCAACATTTAAAAAGACAATGGCATAGAACAATATCACACAGTCAACGTGAAAATCAAAAATGTAACAAACATATCAAAGAATTACCACTTCTTTTCTAATTTATTAGAAGTTAAAATGCTAAACAATTTAGTGAGGAAAGAATTACTGAATTAATATCATGCGAAACTCATAGCAGTCAAAACCATCTGAAATCAAAATCAGTTTCAGATTAAAAATCTAGTAATTATATTTACCAAGGCTGCTAACTTATCTTCCAGTTATGGCAATTGATGGAGGTAAATGCGTTAATCATGAAGTACCCTTGATATTTAAACGAATGCAATTAATCTTAATTTACAAGAAAAAGTAACTAGTATATAATTTATCATGATTTCAAATAAACTATCTTAGCCGCAAAGTAATTTGTAAAGTTGTCACAGATTGTTTAAAAAATTCAAACAACTAGCTGACCCTTATTTCAGATATTAAAAATTATTTGAAACCATATAATTAAACTCAAGTTTTACACATATTTTGAAATTTTACTTTCTATAAATTTTTGAACAAAGGTAAAATTTGTATCTGAAAAGTAACGAAAAACTGAAAAAATATGCAGAAAAATTCAATAGCTTTTAAATATATGCTTACACCAGGAATTTTCCAAAATGACAAACTGCAGCTATTTGCCTATTTATCAATCAATTAATGATTAAAATTTTTATAGTCAAATAAAAAATTACTCTCAAATCATTTTTCAGATGAGAATAACAATTTCAACATCCTTTCAAACAAAAAATGGAAAAAAAACTGATATAGGCCAATTAGAAAGCAGTAAGAAAATAACTTTTTGAAGTAACAGTCGTAATATGTATCCTAAATGACACAGAAGATTAAAACCATGCCAAAATATTAGAATTTTACTACTGACTGTACAGGCGTAATCCCACCACATAATCATATAGCTCTGTTCCAATTTTGAAGGTCTTGCACTTTTCTTTAACACCAAACAAGAACTCCTAAACTGCCCCATGCCACACTGACATTATACCCTCACAAATATGCATATTGACTCAGATTTGAACCTAGGCCCACTGATATAATAGCCAGTACTGCTAAACACTAAACTGATCAAAATGGGAAGACAGGACTAAATAAAATTCAAAACTATGCCTTCAGAACTGACATTTCAGGCCAATTTAACTTATAAGCAGTTAAAAGTGGTTTGTGAAAAGCTGCCTTCAACATTTACAACAATAAAAAAGTATTGTGCTAATAAAGAAAGTCTACTTATAGTACGATAATCAAAATGTACACTTTTTACAAAAAGCATACTACAAAAGAAATTAATCACATTACAGCATGCATTTGATTAATACATCTGGAATATCCTGGACGTGTTAAATCTTTCAGCTCATTAAATTAAATGCAAAATGGCAAAGACTAGAGTACCTTCATGGTCCTTAAATTATTCAAGTAAACACTACTACAATCCATTTTCAACTCTGGATTTAAAGGGTTTTCAAGGTCAATAGCATTCCACACTATCAAAACTGCTCTACTGATTTTGCTTATCTTTTTCATCATTATAGTAAGTAAACATTTGAAATTCATGCTTCACATGGCATAAACCTAAACAGCAAAAATCTATTTTCCTAGCTCTAACAGATCATACTTATAATATTGTTAAATAATTCAGGAATGATGCTATAATTTGCCCTCCCTACAAGGCATGTTAAAATGTCAATAACATAATTCAATTTTTCAGTTCACCAATTAAAATTTTAAAAAGTTCAACAAACCAAAAATATCCTTTTACTTTATAGAAAAAGTGCTGGCTTATCTAAATATGTTTCCGGCTAAACTGAAGACATTAAAAGCCTGAAAACAGTTTCAAGTTGTTAAACACACAACTTGAAAACCCACATTCAATAAAAAGTTATGTCTGTCTAATTACAGCCCACGTGTTCTCTGCAAGCCATCCGTTAAGACATTACAGAGATAAAGATCATGACGGCTGTCTTTACCAAGGATGAATAAACATGCCTATAACAAACCCACATTGAAGATTTTTAATTTTTTTTTTTTTTTAAGTTACAAGAAATTTTATATTTCCCAGTATTTCAGAAACTCTGTTAATTAACAGATACACAATACATGGCTAAAGTGCAGAATCGCCCACTTCTTTACTTGGCGATTTAGACAAGAGTAAGAAGAATTGGATTTTTGTCAATTTTCTTTGACTTTTTAAGTAAAAGATAGGTCGATGTGTACATGGATAAAGTCAAGGGAGTGCACAATGCCATTTTTGTGCAATTCTGGGATTTTTTTTAAGTGAAAACAGGTCGATGTGCATTTGGATACCGAGTTAGTGCAATTCTTAAAAACACGCCAAGCAGTGGGCGATTCTGCACTTTTCCCCAATACATCTCAAATACAAAAAATTGCTTAAAACTTGCCAGTTAACTGATACACAAACCAACCTCAAACTCACCTGCAGTTTCTGCCTTGAAACAAGAACTCCAAGAAGAATTGAAAACAATACCTTTCTTACATCAGTTTAAAAAATGTATTTTACTCCAAAGCAGTTGTGTAAAATGCATTTAATGAATTTAGTACGGCAAAACAATTTTTAAAAACTTAATTCCTATAGTACAAAACATATTTTTGTTTTAAAACGAAGTAACAGAGCTGTCATTGGTTAAAGTTTATAATTGGGTGCCCCTTGTTTATTGGCGATTCTTTCTTGACGCCAAGATCGGCGACAGGGAGTCACAATTTCAAGATGGCCGCTACACAAAACCAAAATAAGAAGTCAAAGAATTGCATAAGGGCTTAATCCTAGCATACGGTGCACATGAGAGTTGGCGAAATTCGGGTTTAAGAGACTAATAAGCGCGCCAATTGTGGTAACCAAGCCGATTTTGGATGCTCTGTAGGAGAGTGCATTTGGGAGCATTTTCGCGCATGCTCATTAAATATTTTAAATTGAGAAGTTTTGATTGGTGCAGATGGAAGAGAAAAATTATTTCAAACCATTGTTTGAAGTTCTGTTAATTTTCTGTCTTCAGCTGAACTGAATGAGAAAGGATAACGTA